GGCATATGTCGGATAGCGGAGACTGCCTACAACTGTTATGAAACAGCAAAAATGGGATTATCACCCGGTTAATACGCCCAAGGACTCCAAGAGTATACTTGGGCCGCAGTCGGAACAGCTACAAGCAGACGGTATTGCAGTCTGGTATACTAACGCTTGTAGTGTCCCAGAACAATGGGGCGAGATTACTGCACGTTCCCAGGGATCCGAAATCGTCATTTTTATGGGATCCTTTTTGCAGGAATCGCAAGTTATAGCCGACCTAGGTTGCTGTACTAGTTACCGGCAGGATAGGATAGACGGCAGACAGGAAGGTGATGTACTAATATTAGTTAAGTTCTCGCTCAGTCAGTGGGAAACACAGCTGGTCTTAGATACCCCTAATATCGAAGCGATGGGATGCTGTGTCCATCTGGGAAGAAGGCAGATAGGTATACTAGGCGTCTATCGTGCCCCTCTTGCGACTCCCTAGGGGGATACGGAGCTTTTGCGGGGTATGCAAGAAACCCTGGCTAGCTTTCAGAGGTTTCTCGTAAAAGGTGACTTCAACTTTCCAGAGATATCCCGGGCACATGGATGCACGACTGCAGGTTCTCAAGGTGAACGGTTTCTGAAGTGGCTGCAAGACAGAGCTCCCTCACAAAATGTTACAAGAGCAAAGAGATACCGAGGACAAAAGTGACCCTCACTGCTAAACCTAGTTGTCACAAGGTACAGCTCAGACATAACTAAAAATAAATTAAAATATAAAATATAAATTTATAATACAATATAAATATAATATAAATAAATATGGAAGAACCGTTGGGCAAGAACGATCACGAAGTTATTTGCTTTGGACTTATGGTTAGCTATCATAGGCACGGATCTACCATTATACGTCTCTATGGTCACACAAACGTCACCAAGTTGGTAGGGCTGCAAATACCATCAACTGGTGCCCGATGTCCCTAGTGTAACGTGTAAGATAGATGAAACGTAGTAAAAGGTGGGTTAACTATCCTCACAGAAAGGTTCGCACCAATGAGGGAAGGCCGAACCCGTCATAGACCAATATGGTGGAAACCCGGTATGGAGAGGACGCTGAAATTCGGCGACAATAGTGAGATCGCTTTACGGCATTCAACAAGCCTGGAGCGACTACAAATGGGCGCGCAACAGATGTCAAGACCTCCAAAGGCGTGCCAAATATGCCTTCGAGTTTAGCCTGGCGCGAGGCGTTAAAAACAACTCAAAAAGGTTCTATGCATAAGTGCAAGTCAACGCACGCACCCTGGAGAGTGTGGGAGCACTCGCTTTGCCCAAGGGGGACAGCTACATGTAACCGCGATAAAGCGGAAACACTTATTAGGTTCTTCAGATGCGTTTATAGGACTCCAACGAACTATGATAACCCGAGTTTAGCAAGTCTAGCTGATACGTCAGACTTTGTCGATACTGCCATCTGTGAAACAGATGTACATCGACAACTCAAGACGCTTAACAAGCACAAGTTAGCAGGTACGGATGGAATCCATACAGCCATAGTGCTAGAGCAGTTACAGAGGCGGTTCCCTAGGTGGTTCCCTGATCTAACGGGGAGGACATATGAAGACGGATTGCAGCAGTTGAATCTTTTCTCTCTCAAACGGAGAAGATAAAGAGGGGACCTCATTGAGGCTTTCAAAAATCTTGTTAGCATAAACGAGCAACCGCTACTGTCACTCAGTGAACACCAAAATGTGAGAGATCACAGCCTCAAATTAAAGAAAACCGTGTTGAGATCAGACTCCGAGCACAGTTCTTTACGGAAAGAGTGATAAATGATTGGAACAAACTCCCAGAGGAGGTGATAGGGGCCACATCAGTCGTGAGCTTCAAACACCAACTCGATGGGGTTTGGGAGTACATATTTGAGTCGGGCGTAGCTGACTGAGTGAGCCACCGGGATCGTACTGAACGCATTCAGAAGATAGGTTTCTCACCTTTTTCTTTTTTAAATTTGTTATCCCCTTCTAATCTCAACGAATCTTCAATTGCCGTTACCGTTGGCGCCCTCTCGTTGCTTATATTACCTCTGCTCCTACTGCTTTCTTATGATGTCTATCTCACTCCTCACAAGAATTTCGCTCCTTAATGCCTCAATCAAACCTTGAACCTTGCAGGCTTACCCGTTTTATGATTTAGTTGCTGGACAGACCGCTCGCTAAGTGGCTTACAGATAACAACTATGATCATGCACGCACGAATTAGAATCAGTATCCGCAGGTCGGGACATTCAATTCTGCTTCCCCTAATATTAGTAGTAATAATAATAATAATAAGTGTATATTTCATGAAGCCCGTGAGACATGCACAAGGCATGATCAAATGTTCAGAGCGAGTATACGTACAACAACAGTGTAAGTACATAGGTAGACAATACAAAAAAATGCTGGGGATCAAAACGAAAACACAGAATGAAAGGAACATACACCGGACAAGGTCACTGACGAATTTATGGAGGATGGAGGATGCATCGAAAAATACATGTCACTAGAACTGCAAGTAATAGTAAAGTTGGTCCCGAAAGGATTGGCCGTACGGCGAAAGTGTAGGAAATATGAAGAGGAGGTCTGTAATACAAATGCTGCCCGATGGTAGAGGCATGAGGACAGGAATNNNNGGAATAGAAAGTGAGGAACACAGCAGAATAATACGTCGGTAAAGGAACATATTTCACTCCATGCTGCAATACGACTCGCTTTTGGAGACTAGTTCATTGGCTTCGGGGCTTCAATCAATCAACGGGTGGTTTGGTTTATTTAGATTAATTAGGCGTTGGTCGCTTTGATGTGGGACTGACTACACGCTAGACACCTAACCTTAAAACACCTTGTAGGTGAGGCAGGGGATGTAATCCTCAACCTGATCCGGAACGCGGACGCGTATGGTCAAAACGGTAGAAACAGCCGTGCCCAACAACCATTGCCGGAGCCAAATGGTCCATTGTGGGTGAGGACCCCAAGCCTTCGTCNGGTTTGGTTTATTTAGATTAATTAGGCGTTGGTCGCTTTGATGTGGGACTGACTACACGCTAGACACCTAACCTTAAAACACCTTGTAGGTGAGACAGTGGGTGTAACCTCAACCTGGTCCGGAACGCGGACGCGTATAGTCAAAACAGTGGAAACAGCCGTGCCCAACAACCATTGCCGGAGCCCAATTGTCCATTGCAAGTGAAGTCCGCAAGCTTTCGGCAGGTTCAAACCAACCGAATCTGGAACAAACAGGCGATATGCAGCAGTCTGGGGTAGTACCCAGCTGAAAAAGGGGAAGGAGAGCGGGAAACGGGGCCTGCGGTGGAAAACTGATAGGGTACCGCAGTCGACTACAGAATATTAAATCACAAAACATGTGAAAGCATATACAAGACAGGATTGTGTTCCACGGATCCTGCTTTGAGGCTGGTTCCGTTTACTGGTACTAATGGGTTAAGAAAGTGTACACAGCTACCTGTTTAGCGTGTGCCTATTCTAACAAAAGAGGAATTTCATTTCGTAGCACTGGTGGAGCGAATTAGCTCATCGGTGCAAGAATTTGGACACTGGCAATTGTCGTCACGGTCCTGGATACAAACTGAACTGAACCCTCTATTTTTGCTGTTCATGAACGATCTAGTAGAAATTACCAGCTCACTCTGCTTCATATTCTCTTATGATGCAAGCGTGGTTGGATCCAGTATAAGATTGCAATTGGAAGAGGATATTGCAAAGGTGGTCAAGTGGTGCTACACATGGAATCTACCACTAAATGCAACTAAGAGCCAGTTGCTCTCAACAACCCAGGAACCATTGAAGGCTCTAGGTGTTTGGGGGCAATTCGAAGTAGGCACTGTAACCAGTGCCAGGGATCTAGGAGTAATAGTAATTGCAGATTACAGCGAGGGTATCCAATGTGAAGCTGCAACACACACTGCGAGACGAAAGCTAATTCGACTAAGGTCAGCAGTTTCGTGAAAGAAAGCAAACATATTCATACCCATCTACAAAGCCATCCTAAGGCCTCACCTAAAATACTGTGTTCAGGCTTGGTCGCCCCTTTACAAAAGGGACGCAGCCTGTCTGGAGAAGGTCCAGAGAGTAGTAACACGGATGGTTGAGGGTATGCAGTAGAAAACATACAAAGAGAGGTTGTACACGCTTGGTCCATTTCACTATGAAAAAGAAGATTGCGCGGGGACCTCATCGAAGTATTTAAGATTTAAAAAAATTTGCTGGGTTTAGATCCGAGGTCCTTCTTTACTGAGACTTACCACCAAGAAACGCGTGGACATGAGCTCAAACATATGGAACAGCGTTCTAGACTGAACTTGCGAGCACATTTCTTTGGCAATAGGGTAGTGAAAAATTGGATTAAGTTACCGTCTGAACTGATTGTGCAGCCTAACGTCCAAGCCTTAAAAAGCGCTCTGGACGCCAGATGGTTTGAGGTCTTCCCTGACGGAGAATGTTAGGTACATAAATTGTTCTTTGTGATATAGAATTCTTCATAATGAAAGTCTCTCGCTGACACGGCGAGAAGTAAGCTCCCTCCCTCCCCCCCTCTGTTTTCAGATAGAAAGAGAAACCGATCAATCGCAGAGGTGGGCGCACACTCGTGAGCACACCACCGAAGGAATTCTGGATACGTGATTGACCTGTGGCCACTATCAGTCCTGTGCAACCTGACCTAACCTGACATGAAAATCGTAAGAGGTCTATCGGGACTCAACCTATATGACTTGTTTATGATTTCTCGTGCAAAGAACACGAGGGATCATGGCTATAAACTTCAGCAGAACCATTCTAAGTTGGAAGTACTGGCCAACTTCTTCGCACACAGGGTCATACCTATATGGAACAGGTTACCCGCAGAATTGTTCATCTGCGCCAATGTTAACGGCTTCAAGGTGGCCCTGGACGCATGTAGGTCCGCAACGTTCCCCGAAGTTAACATTTAGAACGGGAACAGAACGAATAAATTCTACTTTAGCCGAAGCTTTGAAATTGTTCAACCTCGGGGTTGATTGTTAGAATTATTCTAAATCGGACTGTCCTGTCACATGTGATCTGTGTATACGAAAGCCTTTGTACGTGAGGTCACTAATGAATGAGGTGAGGAGATATCCTTTCTTGCTCTCCTCCCTTTCAACATCCCCCAAGGAGTCAACGGGCTAAATTGAGAGGAGCACAAACAGCTAATCAACTGTACAAAATGTTGTAGGCTACTCCCATCAGCCGACAACACAAAGAACTGGACACTAGATTGACAAGAGCCATATTTGTCCTGTGAGTCCTTAGATCAAATAAGTCGCGAAACCAAGGAAGGAAGGAGTCAAAAATTCCGGGACAAAGGAACTAGGAAAAAGGTTTTAGAAGTTTCGCATAGGAAAACGCACAAGGTGAGTCTACATCGTATTGTGTATCTTAGTGAGATTCAGTTGACCTAAAGCGTAATACCAGCGGTTCACTACTTCTATCGTAAGGAACCTTGCATATACTAGATTTTTAGCGTACATTACACGGGCTTTACCTTAACAGCGTCCGCAGTTTCACTCTGAATATTCTATCTGTCCACCTTTTGATCTCTCGTTTTAATGATCGATCTGAGGCTTAATAAGTTTGGAATGGGCACCAGCACAAGGTTATCCATGGGGAAATGCAAGATAGACACGGGAATTCAGGAGTATCTGTTCGGGAAGGAAAGCTGCGCCACAGAGATTTCTGACCGAGGCATAGGCTGTGACACCTGCAGCACCTGTTATCACCCGAAATGCAGTGGGTTAACGAGCGGCAGCTTCCAACTTTACGGGCAACACAAACGCCTGAAGTGGGTGTGTCCAGCCTGCACAACTATTGTAAGGGAAATAAGGAGAGCGGAAAGGCAGGCGGCCAGGCCTAAACTAAATCCCAGAAGTAAGGAGTGCATAGCTCCTGTTCCATCCCCGGTCGACAGAGGGAATTCTAGTGTCTGGAAATGTAAGTAAAAGGGCGAAAAAGCAGAAAGTGAAGGTTTAAATTGAAAGGAGGCACCCCTTAGCATGATAACCAAGGGTGAAATCACGGCTGTCCTTGCGAACCTAGCCAAACGAGTAGATGGACATGCGGAGAACTTAAATCGCCTCAGGAAATACAAAAACTTGCTGGCTGAGGTGATCGACAGGAAACGGCAGTAAACCGATGTAGTCATTGGTAGACATCGCAACTTACTCATCCACGGTGTACCAGAGCCTTTTATTCGGCAAGGTAGACTGAGGGACCGTTATATGCGTGATTACTTGGCCACGTTGATAAGAGCGGTAGCAATCCCAGAACGTGTACTGCTTAAGAGAGTACTCAGACGTGGGCCGTGGAGGGACCATAAAGCGACAGAGGCAGCCCAGCCTAGGCCATTGCAGTGGATTTCGGGAACCCTGGGCATAGGGACAGGCTTTTAGCAGAAGCTGAAAAAATCCGGATATCCGTGGATGGCAATGTTAGAGTGACACCCGATGATCAGCCTGATGGGAGATTGAAAGCAGAAACAATCGCGTGGGTGGCACAAGCGCATCGAGCGAGGATGGTTTCTCCCAAACTGTCCGGTGAGAACAGGGACCGAGGAGCCCTCCAACTCCAAACAGGGCCCCGGGAAATGGTAAACCCTGACCAAACAAAACCCTCTTACAAGGAGGTTTAGCTGAGACCACTCAAGGAAAAGGGATCTGACAGAGGGTAGAAATCCTGACTCATTTGGGGTACGAAGAAAACGTCTACGACCCAGAATAAACGGGGGCCAAAAAACGGAGCACAAGCTCGGTAGTGAACCCCGAGGAGCCACCCTCCATTAGTGAAATGCCGAACACTAGGATAGGAGTCCCACTACACATTGCTTACACAAACGCGTGCAGAGTGGGAAACAAATGGTCGGAGCTTAGAGTGGAGACAGGAAAATGTGATGTTGTGGCTATCAAGGAAACCTGTCTCCGACCAGGAATAGACGTCAAGCATCACTGTCCACCAGCCCTCTGCGAATATAGCACCGACAGGACTGAGGGCAGGATAGGTGGGGGCACCCTCATACCAGTGGCACAGCACCTAAATCAGAGTCAGAGGGGGAACTCACGATGCCAACGCCAAAAGTCCAGGTTTCTGGCTGTGTGAAGAGCGTCAGGCACACTAGACTGCTGATAGTTTGCGTTTAGAGAAGTCCATCATCCATGACCGACGAGGATGATGCACTGCTACTCACGCTACGAACAGCCGCAACTGGTGCAACTGAAAACAACTGATCCTCGGGGATTTCAACACCCCAGATATAAACTGGAGTGAAGAAAGTGCCCCGTCGGGGTCCTTCGGCTCTGCGATACTGAATCTGCCGGAGGATGAAGCCCTCGTGCAACACGTAGGGGAAGACACGCGGTGGCGCCATGGTAGTACACCCACCAGATTGGACCTGGTACTCACGAAGGAGGCAAAAGATATAAAGAATATTCAAGTAATGGCCCCATTGGGTAAAGACGACTATGCTCTGCTTCATATTANACATCGAGAAGTGTGCAGATTGCGCACGATCGAGTGGGTAAAGTTACAGTAATAATTTGTTCAAATAAAGCAGGCTGAATGATCGGAGAAGGTTGTGGTAGTTGTAAAACTTGTTTGATTACAGAGGGGCCGATTGCGAGATACTGTTGTTTGAATGGATCATTGGTCGATGTAGCGCAACGAGTGTTTGACTTGAAGGTCATTGTACAAGAACGTGGTATACATTCCCGTGTTTTGAGTCATATGTGTGTCATATGCGAAAAAAATGTTCATGGTGGGAAGATAATAGACATTTTATATGTTAAACAGTATATAAAGAAATAAAAACTGGTTTATAAGGTAAATCAGTGTTTCAATGGCAGGACGAAAAATACGTTCTCTTTGTGGAGGAATGTAACTAAAGATTTACAAATGTTTGTTCTTTGAGGATCANTCAAAATTTTGTCTGCAGGTAAAATGTTCATGTACATAAATTATTTTTCTGATGTGAGAAGGCTTCTACCACTAAAATCATGTTATCTTGTAAGAGGTTTCGAAACCTTTTCAGCAAGGAGCTCCTTGATACCCTCGGGTATTATTTACAAAAAGAGTACGCTTTCTGTTCTGAACTGAATAGCATTATTCAGTTCAATATACAGAACTCGATGACTATAGAAATGGTTATGACCATGACTATATATGTATGTAAAACCATCAGTTTAATCTATGATTATGATAGATATATACGATTGGATGACCAGAGTAACTTTTAACATAGGTGAGTTGAGCACCATTGTGATTATGTATTCAACTGTGTTTGGCATGGAACATAATTGGCTAATCATCGTTTGACAATTGTTATAAGTGAAAAATGATCTGGGAGACAAATGATGATTGGGAGCTCGGTATGCTGTTCCACACTTTATCGAGTGCCTAATCGCTAGGTGTTCGTGTTGGAGCAACATTTTGAGCGCTGTCACATGACGCCGCCTTGAGTCCATGTCAACTAATGCTGTGAGGTAGAAATCTGATTACATCAGGCTGAGGCAGATGGAGGTTCTTTGAAGAGCAATTACAGTACCATTATACCATACGACTGGATGAAGAATTCAGTCAAACATAATCATCAGTCATTTGAATAGAATAAAAGAGAAGAGTAAGAGACAGGTATCGCTTCAGAGCCGGGCACCCTACGGCAGAGATCCGGCTTATCGACAACACTCTCTAGGTAGGAGGGGGAAGTTCTCCCGCTTCTGGGAGACAAATGATGATTGGGAGCTCGGTATGCTGTTCCACACTTTATCGAGTGCCTAATCGCTAGGTGTTCGTGTTGGAGCAACATTTTGAGCGCTGTCACATGACGCCGCCTTGAGTCCATGTCAACTAATGCTGTGAGGTAGAAATCTGATTACATCAGGCTGAGGCAGATGGAGGTTCTTTGAAGAGCAATTACAGTACCATTATACCATACGACTGGATGAAGAATTCAGTCAAACATAATCA